ATGTATGTGAGCAGGCTGGGGAATCTCAAGGTCCAGGTGCCAGCAGGAAGGTCTAAGAACATCAGGTCGCAGAAATCTTTACTGAGCACTAGCTGTATGCCTAGCACCCACAGCCTAGGAGATCCACAGTGGGCAAATGCAATAACCAAAATCAGCTGGCTTGAATTCCCCACAGCTCCCTTTACGAGTTTTAAGATTAAAGCCCAGGAAATGACTTTGTGTTTTTCTCCCAGGAGACTTTGTGATTCCAGACTCAGAACATGACCAGCAAGAGAGCTGTCACAGGAAGATGGTGCTTCGCAGTGGGGAGTCCTCGTCTCTCGACCTCAAGTGAACTTCTGCCCCATCTGACACTCACCCTCTGCCAGCACCATGCAAGGCTGGAGCTCAATGCCTCAGTGAACCTCAGCCAGGTGATTTTCCATCCCAAGCAGTTCGTACCTAGTGCCATCTATACCTCCACAAAGAGCACCAAGGTCAGGGATGAAGATGCGGGACTCCATCAAATCATCTCATCAAATGACCTCATCAGTGGAGCAGTAAATGTAGCAGCAAGTTAGCGGTAGCAAATCATCACAAGGATAAGAATCATTATTATCATCACTATCACAATTATCACCATCACCATCATCACCACCATCACCACCACCATCATCACCAGAAGCCTCATCACCATCTTCATCATCACATCACTATCATCATTACCAATATCACCACCATCACTATCATCACCATCATCGTCACTATAATCATCACCATCATCACCAACATCATCACCATCATCATTACTATCATCATCACCACCATCATCACCACCACCACCATTACCATCACCAACATCATCACATCATCATCATCAACATCATCACCATCTTAACAAGGCAGGAAGCCACAAATGTTGGAGAGGATGCGGAGAAAAGGGAACCCTCTTACACTGTTGGTGGGAATGTGAACTGGTGCAGCCACTCTGGAAAACTGTGTGGAGGTTCCTCAAAGAGTTAAAAATAGACCTGCCCTACGACCCAGCAATTGCACTGCTGGGGATTTATCCCAAAGATTCAGATGCAATGAAACGCTGGGACACCTGCACCCCGATGTTTCTAGCAGCGATGTCCACAATAGCCAAACTGTGGAAGGAGCCTCGGTGTCCATCGAAAGATGAATGGATAAAGAAGATGTGGTCTATGTATACAATGGAATATTCCTCAGCCATTAGAAATGACAAATACCCACCATTTGCTTCGACGTGAATGGAACTGGAGGGTATTATGCTGAGTGAAGTAAGCCAATCGGAGAAGGACAAACATTGTATGTTCTCATTCATTTGGGAAATATAAATAATAGTGAAAGGAAATATAAGGGAAGGGAGAAGAAATGTGTGAGAAATATCAGAAAGGGAGACAGAACATAAAGACTTCTAACTCTGGGAAACGAACTAGGGGTGGTGGAAGGGGAGGAGGGTGGGGGGTGGGGGTGAATGGGTGACGGGCACTGAGGGGGACACTTGATGGGATGAGCACTGGGTGTTATTCTGTATGTTGGTAAATTGAACACCAATAAAAAATAAATTTATTATTAAAAAAAAACATCATCACCATCATCATCACAATCATCACCAATCTCATCACCATCATCATCACCACCATCACCACTGCCATCATCACCACCATGTTAACAGCAGCAAACATGTAATGAACAGCTGTTATGTGCCAGGCATTGACTACCAGGCATATGCTATCTCACTTTATCTTTGCAACATTATAAGATCTTTAATTCTATAACTCCCACTGAGGTACAGAACAGATAACCAGGTTGTCAAGTCCACACAGCTAATACAAGATAAAGCCAGGAATTTGAAGGCAGACACTCTTAGCCACTACACTAAAACTAGAAGAGACTTCCCAATCACTCACTTACAGGGAGGTCACTGGGAAAGGGACCACTTGATGATTCCAGTAGCTATTCCACACAGTATTAGCTCCTGAGGGATTTCAGTGTGCCCCAAATCTCTAGCCATCTACTTTTCTATGCCTACTGATATCTGTGTTCTGGACAGATGGGCAAACGTAACTTTTCCTTTCCAAATACCTCTCTACAGAAGCAAAAATAAAAACTCAGAACTCCCCAAATCTGATTCCAAAGACATCTCTTTGGACAACAGAGCTGACTTAACAAATTCTTCCTATCACTTTCCAAAACCTTAACTCTGTCCTTTGGGGTATCCTCAGCAGTGAGTGGGCAGAGCTGGGTGTGTCTCAGATGAGAAGACTTCCATGTCCCTGGTGGCTTGTTGGCCCCTGACACCTGCAAACTTCTCTTTGGAGTCATTCTTGCTGGGTACAGAAGCACCTGGGCATGTGCTTGGTGTTGTTCTGCTGAATCCTCATGACCATCATTTGGAAGAGATACTTCTAAGCTTTAATATTTTTTTTTTTTTTGATGAAGAAGATGAAGTCAAGAGAGAAGAGAACTTCCCCAGGGTCACACAGCTACCTGCAGGAGAGCCCAACGCACAGGCGGTCTGTGGCCTGCAAGCTCAAAGGGCATGCACAGCCTCCTAGACCACAGCTCTGGGATCTCCAAGGCTACTTACTCTTACGGCCTTAACTCTGTTTGAGAAGAGTGAGCAACAGTCATGCTCCATGAAGAGTTGGGAGCCCCGGTCTATGTGTGGTGACTGCCAGGACAAGCAGGGACTTGGCTTCGTGGGGCTTCTGCCAGGGCTCTCAGTGCCCGGGCTTGGGCCACTTATGTGGGATCTGCTGGGCTGTGATGCACCGAATTAGAGGCGTCAGCTCAGCACTTCCTGTCTTGCTTTGCCTTGGCCTGGATGCTGAAGGCTGCTGGCGTCCTTTCTCAGCATCCAGCATCACTTCCCAGAATTAACATTTCTCTGCACTAAAAGCAAACACACATATTTCCCCCCACCCTTTAAATTTGTTTTGCTAAACAAATTAATCTAGCACCAGATTATATTATGAAGAACCATAAATCTTTTCCAAGATAAGCATCTGTCGAGTTGGATTAGCAACATCCAATGTACTGTGAATTAATTTGCTAAGCCTTCTAATGCTGTCCCGAGCATTTAACTTTAGTAATAACAAATGTAATTTGGAATAAATGGGAACTTGTTTTCTCATCCGTGCCTATATAGTAAGTGACGTATGTAGAGGGGATGACAGGAAATGAACACAGCACTGTATTCTATTATGATGATGGCTTGCGAGCTTATTGAGATAAAAACAAATGCTTTTGTAAACAGCTTTCAGGCATCTGGCACAGACAGGATGAGCTGCAGGCTGTGCGTCCATAGGTTCGGGACAAAGGCCACCCGGAAGATGGCCTGCGACCCCCTGCAGACCTCCTCCCTCCGTGCTCCAAGCTCACAGCCTCCAGCCCTGGGCCTGGCCCCTGGCTTTGAGATGGAGTTGGGTTTGCCTTCATAGATACGTTGCTCTCTAGGGAAGAATTGCTCATAATAAAAACTGCAGTTCTCTTGTCCAGGTAAAGGAAGGAAGTAGGTCATCGAACAAAAGCCACCCACTCTGTGAAAACCTATCCAACTCCTGACTATGGCCAGACGCAGAGTCCAGTGCTGATGAGGCCTGTAGGAAAACCGGAGCACCAATGCTGCCGACTGGCCCTGGGGAGCAATTGTCTTCTTTCTCCCAGGTCCCAAAGAGGGTCTTCCTGGAACCAAGGAGCCCTGAACCCTTAGGATGTGGAGAAGCAAACAGACAGGGGACGGAGGAGGCCACACGGCACCACCACCCCTTCGTGCTGGTATCCTGCAATTTGCATCCCATTTTAAGAGCTAGCAAGTGGGCAGACCGGGTGGCTCAGCGGTTTAGCGCCACCTTCAGTCCAGGGCATGATCCTGGAGACCGGGGATCGAGTCCCACGTCGGGCTCCCTGCATGGAGCCTGCTTCTCCCTCTGCTTGTGTCTCTGACTCTCTCTCTGCATCTCCCATGAATAAATAAATAAAATCTTAAAAAAAAAAAAAAAAGCTAGCAAGTACTGCCGCTTGTGTGATGTGTGAGCACAGGCCCGACCTGTGAACATCCTGGTCCTGGTGGGGCGTGGGGTGGGGGCCTGTTCACAGTGGCACAGAGAGCCAGAGGCAGGCTGGAACACAGGGGTCCTGGGCTCTGCATCTCCCTCAGCCAGCCGTGGGGCTGGGGACATGGCTGTGGCTACCCCTGAAAGGACAAGCTATGGCCTGGCAGATATTCAAGGGCTACTCCTTCTGAAGCAACTGGAAGAGGAGGTAGAGGAGAAGAAAGAAAAACAAGAACTACATTGCAGTGGCTACTTCGAGGCCAGGAAATGCTAACTGTCCTATGCACCTAGAATAACAGGGGGAGGAACCAGAGCCATTCGTCCTGACCCCTGTCCTCCAAACACCTGTGATACCATCTCCAGAGAATACACTCCCCAGCCTGAGTCGGTGTGCAGAACCTCAGCGAAACCACAGGAAGTTCTTCCTTATACCTCAATCTCTTCTGCTGCTTAAAGGGATCCCTAATCTGGCAGTCACTCCTCCACGGAGCCACACCCTTGCACGTTTCCGGAGACTCCACATGGGCCCTAATTACACCAGCAGCTGTGGCCATATCTTACTCCCAGGCTGGCCCAGAAGTCAAGGCGCTGCCATTCGGGAAGATGCGGCCCTGTGCCTGCTGGGTTCAGATGCCTGTGACACTGGCAAGGCAGCCACCACGTCCCCTTCTAGGCCACCACTACAGAGAGACCCTGTCCCATCTCCCTTCTACTAGCCACACGCCGGCTGGAGCATGACTGGAGCACAACCCACCTTTGCCAGGACACACAAGTCTCTGGACACACAACCCCCCTCCGTCCCCAAGGCTGCCACCCAACTGTCAACACCGAGAAAAAAAAAAAAACGCGTCCCGGGGCACGGCTGGGCATCCTTCGTGAGCCACACCCCCATGTCCTCCCACCCCAACCGAACCCCAACCAGAAAAGAGGCGGCTGTACCTGAGGTCTCCCCCAGGATCCGCGGGGGCTTGACGTCTTCACCATCGTCTCTGCTGGGACTGGTGGAAGGCTCCGTTGTGCTAACCCCAACCGGGATCCTATTCCTGGGGCCCAGGGGCTCCGTGACCCCCTTAGTCTGCAGCGTCGTGGAGGTGGCCATGGTGGCTGTGGTGGTGGTGGTGGCGGTGGCCACAGTTGTCTTCCGTGTCTGTGAGATGGAGGCCGTGGTGGGGCCGTAAAGCCCCGGAAACGTGTTGGACTCTGGGGCCTCCTCCTCCCCCGTGGGCCCCCAGGCGATGAACTCCGTCTCCGTGGTGGGCCTGCTGCCGCGGAAGTCAAAGGTGTTGAAGGCGGCCCCCTGCAGGTGCCTCTTTCCCCGCCGCAGGAGGGCCTGCCGGTCCGTGGCTGCCCCGCCGCCCGCCGTGGGGGACGGGGACGAGGAGGAGGAGCCGAGGGAAGGGCTGGATTTGGCGGCGGCCGGGGGCTTGGCGAGCCCCCCTCGGGGCACCAGGGCGGCCACCTGGTCCCTGGGTCTGTGCGCCCGCTTAGCGCGCGGGCTGGGCATCTGCCCGTGGCTGCGCTCCACGCGCGCCGGGCGCGGGCTCCACACGGGCACGGGGATGCGCGCCGCCTGTCCGCTCTTCAGACTCCACAGCCGGGGCGGCCGCTGCGGTGGCCGGGGCAGGAGCCGGAAGTCGGGGCCCGGGCCCAGGGACTCACACGACGGCAGATCCATGGCGAGCTGAAACATGGCTATAAGTATCCAAGCATGGCTTCCTAGGGAGCGGCCCGGCCAGCGGATGGACATGGAACTGCGTGGAAAAGAGAGAGCAGCGTCAGGGGGTGGCGCGGGGGCGCAGCTGCCTGTCCCTCCACCCCCGCCGTCGAGCGCTGATCCTAACTCCAAAAGGGAAACCGAAACCCTCCATTAGCCGACCGCACGGCCCCGTTCGAGCGCCACTTCGTCAGCATCTCGGAAGCACCGTCCCCATGCACCTGCTCCCAGGAGCCGGCTCCCCCGCCTGCACGGCCCATCTCGCCCCGGGAGTGTGCAACGCACGCGGCTGACGTGACCCGGGAGGGAAACTGAGTCTCAAAACCCCCAACTCGGCCGACAGGATGATCTCAAACACCTTCTGTGACCCGCTCAGCTTCTGGCCTGAGTGAAACGGAGAAGCGGTGAGGATGTGTGGTAAGAGGATGGCAGAGCTGGGAGCTCGGTCCATGCCCTGGGTCCAGGGCTGGGCTCTTTCCTCTGTGTCACAGAAGTGACCGGCCCGAGGCGGCTGTCTCTGAGCACACAGCCTCCCCTCCCCGAGGCCCGGAGGGGCGGGGGTTCCACTCTCTGTGGGGCTGAGCCCGCTGGACTTCACAGGGGGCGCGAAGGCCAGGCATCTGCTGAGCCCCTGCCCCACGGTTGGTCCATAAACCCCACTACCCCCTCCTCAGGCAAATGTGCAGGCTGCGGTCTTGGATGCTGTACGCTAGGAAAGCTTCTTATTTTTGGCCTCCTCTGGATTTTGTTCAGGAAAATGAGATCTGCTGTGGATAAGCTGGAAGTTTATCGATGCGCCAACTCTGCCCAAGTGCTGTTCTGTTGACATTTCGACTTTCCCTATTTATCTTCAGCGCAGGTGCCCTCTGAAACCGCATCCCCCACCTCCTCAGCTCCAGGAAGGGTGGGAGGAAGGGCAAACCCCACAAGACCCAGGAGAGTGGCGGGGGTTGCAGGGAGGATGAGGCCAGGTGGGTGCACGGAGCGTCACGTGAGCATCCAGAGCATAGCAGCCAGCCACGTGGAGGGCTGGGGGCCCCGGGCCCACGCTCCCTCTCCCACCAGCTTAGGTAAGTGAGGACCGGGCACAGGCGCCATTCAAAGTCGGTACTTGTCACCGGCGTCACGTCTGAAAATTGACACGGATCCAGGACGTTAGTGACTACTGTGGGCGGGGGCGGGCGAGGGCGTTCGGTGTGCTGAGCCGCCAGCCTGAAAAGCTGCTCAAGACCAGCCCTGTAGAAAAAAAGGCTTGGCAGTTTTTCTTTATGAGGTTTCGCGTGACTTTAAAAGGGAATAAATCAGTGAGTGAGCAGTGTGTGGTGTGTGTGAGTCATGTGTGCATGTGTGCACGGGAGTGTGTCTCAGGACGGCGTGTCGGCCTGTGTGACTGCTGCTGTGTGATAGTGCATCAGTGCCTGTGAAAGACCAAAGTACAAGTGTGTAAATGTGTGAGTGTGTAAGAGCACAAGTCTGTGGGGGCTGTGTGCCTGTATGTCACATGTGCATGTGTGTGTCTGTGCAGGTGTGGCCGAGTGTGGAGTCTGCCTGTCTAGTAAGTGTGTGTGTGTCAATGAGTGTGCAAGAGTGTGAGTCCATGGGGGGGTGTCTGTGTGCCTGTCTGTAATATATGCATCTGTGTATCTGTGCGGGTGCAACCAAGTATGGGGTCTACATGTTGGTGCACACATGTGAGTGTGTCATTGTGCAAAAGTGTGAGCCTAGGGGTGTGGTCTGTGTTCCTGCCTGTCATATATGCACAAGCGTGTGCATGTGCAGGTGTACGTGAGCATGGGGTCTACATGTATGTCGGTGTTCCTGTGAGTGTGTCATTGAGTGTGCAAGACTGAGTTTATGGAGGATGGTCTGTGTGCCTGTCATATATGCACGTGTGTGTGCAGGTGTGGCTGAGCGTGAGGTCTGCCTCTTAGTGCTTGTGTGAGAGTGTGTCAGTGAGTGTGCAAGAGTGTGAGTCTATGTGCCTGCCTGCCATATATGCACATGTGTGTACGTGCAGGTGTGGCTGAGTGTGGGGTCTGCATGTCGGTGCGTGTGTGTGTGAGTGTGTCTGCGTGTGAGCTCCCTCCTCATTCTGCACTGAGCCCCACGTGCCTGGGCTGCCTCTTCTCTGGTGGGTACTTAGGCACGTGCCATTCCCTGCCTGTCATCCGGATGTTGAAAGGAAGAAACATGTATTAATGAACGCTAATTACCGAAAAGGACTAATCCCCAAATAAAAAGGGCCCAGTTTTTTAATCAGAATGAAAGTGCTTTGCTGCAGAAATTAGGAATCGCTCATTATGCTAATGCCTCTGCACTGAGTTTCTGCCGGTGTGCAATTTCTCTGCACAGCCAACCAAGCCCCGTGCAGGGACCCAGGCCACTGTCACCACACACAGAAATTTAGGTCAGTGTGAAACATCCCCATGCACATGGTAAGCACAGCTCCAGGGTGACCACAGGTGGCTCAGTGAGGATGGATGATTTAGACCCTCTGGTTCTCTCGCCACTCTGCACATTTGGATGGGAGTCCAGCTCCCAGGGAACTAACACTCCTTCAAACAAGAGAGATGCCTCAGCCCAGAAGGCCCCACCAAGGCCCACCAGGCCCTATCAGGCCCCGCCAGTTATCACTAGGCCCCACCAGCTACCACCAGGCCCCACCAGGTCCCACCAGGTCCTACCAAGCACCACCAAGTCCCACCAGGCACCACCAGATCCCACCAGGCCCTACCAGCTATCATCAGGGACCACCAACTACCACTAGAACCCACCAGGTACCACCAGGCATCACCAGGTCCCACCAGGTCCCACCAGACCTCACTAGGCTCCACCAGGCCTCACCATGCCCCACCACGTCCCACCAGGTCCCACCAGGCCCCCCAGGTCCCACCAGACACCACCAGGCCCCATAAGGCTCCACCAGGTATTACTTGGCCCCACCAGGCCCCTCACATCCCACCAGACCCTGCTTGGCCCCACCAGACAGGCTGAATGAAGAGCAGCCACAGGCGAACCTGTGTGCCGTCAGTACTTGGAGAAATATCGCCCCAGGAAATGAAACCCGCCGCACCTCAGCCTGTGCCTGCTTGCCTGCCCCAGCATAACTTCACACACAGGATATTTCTGTCATTTTTCACCAATCATGAGCTGTAATTGGTTACCATAGAAACCCCCTCATTTCCACACCACCCGGCTGTTATGCAGAAAAACCAACCGATGGCAAGAGCAGGGAGAGCTTGCTTTGTTTCTCTTCGAGTCCAGCTTCTTCCTTCTTAAAGTGCTGGACTTGTCAGAGAGAGACTATTAGGAGGGCAGGTGGACGAGTGGGGACAGAGCCTCATCCTCACTGTCAGCGTCGGGGGCAGAGAGAGTCCCTCCCTAGGGAGGCCAGGGGCCAATCCTGCAGCCTGCAGGGACTGGCGGTCTCTCTAGGGGAGCCGAAGGTCCCAAGCCCTCTGCTCTGTCACCAGAAGTGGCAGCCCATGTCAGTCTGGACCTTCATGCTCCAGAGATACACACAGGGCATCCTGGCATCAGGGGATACAGTCCCATGTGCAAGGACCCCATGGGGGGCAATGCGGGCCCTCTCTCTCCATACTTCCAGCTGGCCCAGACCCGGCTCTGCTCTGCCCTCTGACCCAGTCCAGCACACCCCAGGAAGGCGCTGGGGTGCTGTCCGCCACTCCCATAGTGGTAGAGGACCCCTCCCAGGTGTAGGAGTGAGGCCCTGAGGCTGCCAGCACCACCACTAGCCGTCAGACCTGCCACGGGACACACCAGGGAGGCCAGGCCACAGGGTAGACAGAGCGGATGCCAGCTCCCCCAAAGCTCGGGGTCATCCACACGCCCCTTGAAGACATGCCCCCTCATCACACCGATGGGGACGGTCACAGCACGAAGACAGGTCCAAGTGTTGCCAAGGATGTGGGGAGATAGGGATGTAAAATGGTGTAGCTGCTACGCAATACGCAAAACAGCTCAGCAGTTGCTCCAAGACATAGTTACCAGTTGCGCCACCATTTCCACTCTTGGGAATAAACATAAGTCCACACAAAAAGGTGTGCATGAATGTTCACGGCAGCAGTAGTCACAAGAGTGGAAAGCAGAAACAACCCAAGTGTCCCTCAAGTGGATGGACAAAGAAAACGTGATCTGTCCCTACAGGGGAACATTCTTTAGCCTCATAAAGGAAGCAAGCACCAACACATGCTTCAACATGGCTGGAGCTTGAACACATTACATGGTGTAAAAGAAGCCGATTATGTCAGGTTCCACATCCTTTGAGTGTCCACGCTTATGAAATGCCCAGAATTGGTGAATCCGTAAACCACTGAACTGCGCAGTATGGAGGGGGGTGAACTTAGGGTATGAAGATTGTAGCTCAAGAAGGGGATGCATGCAAGGGGGACCGGCCTGGGGTGGGTTGCAGGGTGTCTAGCTCCTGGCATGGGTGTGGGCACAAGCAGGTGGGAGGGGGGAAGGGGGCCCAGGCTGCAGCCAGCGTCTGAGCTGCCAGCAAAGTGCAGAGAGGGTGCCCTAGAGACCTTTCAGGCTTGTGTGCAGTGCTCACGGGGGCTTGGGCTCGTCCGAGTGCCTGGCCCTTTGGCCCTCAGCCCACGTGGGGCAGCATCCTGGCCCAGCTGTGAAGAGTGAGCACCCCCACCCCCACCCAGCCACGTCCACATAGGGGCCGCGGCACCATCCCCCTTATTTTCTGGTTCATGGCTTTCTTGCTTCTCCCCCTTTTAAATTTTTATTGAAATCTTTTTTCCCCCTAAGAACACTTCCCTATGATTCAGTGGATTGAGACTGAATTCGCTACCTTCTATTTTCTTCACAGAAGAAAACTGTGGTCAATTAGGGGAGAGAAAGACTTCTTTTCCACTTATGGTCACACAGTTCCCCAGGGGGCTCGCAGGGAAATGCTTCCTGCAAGCAGCTGGTTCCCACATGCGAGGGGCCCGGGCCAGTGAGACTCGGCAGGGCCAGGAGCTCCTGTGAGCCCTGGAATCTGGCCACTGGGATGACGGCACG